CTATGGGGCCACGAAACGCTGCCCTGGGTGGGGGAACCGCATGCGAACACCCCCACTGGGGCCTTCGGTGGAGCTCCCTATGGGGCCACGAAACGCTGCCCTGGGTGGGGGAACCGCATGCGAACACCCCCACTGGGGCCTTCGGTGGAGCTCCCTATGGGGCTACGAAACGCGTGAGAGGTGTGCCGAGAGCAGAGGCAAGGAGGGGGAGGAGGGGGAGGAGGAGGAGGAACGCGGGGACCGTCTCTTCAAAACGAGGACCCAACAACACAGGTTGGTTGGGAAAAAAACGCATTGGAGCGGGCGGCTGCTGGCCGACTTCGGCCTCCGGGGGGCCCTCTCGGGGGGCCTCCTGGGCCGTGCGAGAACGACGCCGGACGAGGAGCCGGCCCTGCAGGGGCAAGTGGCCCAGACCTCCGGGGCCCACGCGCCGAAACAAAGGGAGGAATTGGAGCAGCCCGATGTCTGGGGAGGGGGGGCATGGGGGAGGGGGGACCCTCCGCAGGATGCACAAGCACATCCAACAAGCACAAAAAACACGACCCCGACATGCGACGTTTTGATATTTTCAGGACGGGGTCCCTGGAAGTCCCTGGGGAGGGGGGAAGGGCCTCTTAGAAGCCCCCTGCTTCTCAGGGGGCGCGGGCCTTCCCATGGGCGTATGAGGCCCGCGCCTTCTGAGAAGCAGGGTGCTTCTGAGAAGCCTTCCCCCTTCCCCATACCCCCTTTTGCACGCCGCCCGATACACATGCGGAAAACTAATAAGAGATCCAGGGGCGCATCTCCCATTGATCTTCAGCTCCGTGAAGTGCCCAAGCCCAGACATCCAGCTGCTCAATTTTGGTCGATGCGTGGGCCCCAGGGATCTGGACCACTTCCGCAGGGTCGGTTTTTCGTCCTTAGTCATTTTCTGACGGTCCCGAGGCCCCGCGTGGGCCCCCCGAAGCCGAAACCAGCCAAAAACCGCCCGCCCATATATTTTTTGGGGGCGTCGGATCTCTGGGGGTTTCTCCGCTGGGCCCCTCACGGGGCCAATCGGAGAATGAGAAGCATCTCTTCGGGGCACATGCTGGCACGACTCTTTCTTATTCGGTCCTCCGCGGTCGCTCCTCTGCTTTCCCCCCTGCCCGGGTGCACAGTTCGCCAGTCCGCGGCCCAATTCTAGCGCCCAAACGCGGTGTGATCAACATCGCTGTGACATAAAACAAGTTCCCTTCGCTTTTCCCATTCCATGAAGCTATTGCCCAACCCCGGCGGCCCACCAGATCAGACTCCATGTGGCCAGCCATGCCAGGCGACCGCGGCCACACAACATTTTCCCGCATCGGCGGCCCAACGGGCTCCAGCATGAGCGGTACGGATGTCACGCCAAGACATGCGGAACGATCCAGCCACTGAGACTGAGGGGACAACTCGTGGTCGCAAGGGACCCAGCACGCTGAGACCAAAGTGTTCAAAGATGCCCCAACCGCGAAAAGCAGCGCAATACAGTCGGACCTAGGCCGGAATAACATCCCTCAAGAACATGCGACCATCCGCCAGCCCAAGCACACAGAACATCCAATGGTACCCTCCGCAGGATGCACAAGCACATCCAACAAGCACAAAAAACACGACCCCAACATGCGACGTGTTGGTATTTTCAGGACAGAGTCCCTGGAAATCCCGACCCTTTCCCCGGGACGGGTTTTTCGTCCTGAGTCGTTGTTTGACTGTCCCGAGGCCCGGCGAGGGCCCCCCGAGCCCGAAAATTGTAAAAAAAACTCCCGTTCTGGTTTTTGTACGTACCCTCTCCGAACCGACATCGATCTCAGATCTCGCTCCGACTGTATAGCGCCTCGGCCGAGACCACCCTGCGGCATGGCCCGCTGGGCCACCCAGCACGCAGCCCTGGCCAGCCCCTCGCCCTTCTGATCAGCCCCTGGCCCTCTCAGAAAGCCGTCCCCCCCCCAACCCCCGTGTTCCTCCTCCTCCTCCTCCTCCTCCTCCTCGTCCTCCTCCTCCTCCTCGTCCTCCTATTCCTCCTCCTATTCCTCCTCGTCCTCCTCCTCCTCCTCCTCGTCCTCCTCCTCCTCCTCTTCTTCCTCCTCCTCCATCAGGGAGAGCCCAGAATCGAATCGATACGTCGGATCGGCGATGCGATCGACGCGGATCGGATCGGCGGGAAGCGGCAGCGAAGTCGGGAGGAGCCGAACCGAATCGGCTGGAACCAGCAGGCCAGTGAGGCCTCCACTGAGAAACCAGAATCCAGATCCAAATTGGAGTCCGAAGTCGAGTCGAATCGAAATCGGAATCGATCGAAATCGAATCGAGTCGAGTCGAAGGAGTCGAAATGAGTCCTGCCCTCCCCCCCCCGGCCCTGTCCCCTCTTCCCAGACGTCCCACCATCATGTGTATTTCTTCTGTCCGCGTCCACAGGGCAAACCTACAGGTCTCGAACCTCGAGTCCCCCAGACCGAGGAAATACAGCAGAGGAGGACGACCAATTCATCCTGAACGTCTTCTTCCGCGACGAATTCATCCGGAATGATGTTCTTCGGGACGAACTCTGCTGAATGAAATTGTCCTGATAAGCTCGTCCGGATGAATTTGCCTGCGGATGATCTCGCCCCTGGGTGAACTCGCCCTGGGGTGAACTCGTCGTCGGATGAGCTCGTCCGGAAGCAATCGTCTGGACGAACTCGTCCAGATGGAGATCCCGGATCCTCGTCCAGAAGCGATCGTCTGGACGAGCTCGTCTGGATAGAGATCTCTGGGGAAGCCTTGAAACCAGAAGGTACCGATACCGCCCCCCCCCCTCCGACCAATCCCAGGGTGCGCTCTGACCAGAATGTTTCGGGGCGGACCCAGGGCCTCCCGTGAGGCCCAGAATGGGGACAAACGAGGGAGGGTTAGCGGTATGGGTATAAAACGACGCGAAGATCGGGACAAAATCGGATCGGGATAACTCGAAATCTCTGAGAATCGGCGGGTTTGGAGGATGTATTGGGCGCCGCGGCCGCTCCAGAGCGTTCCGGAACGCTCTGAGAGCGCTCTGGAACGCTCTGGAGCGATTTATCCCGATCCTAGCCCTGTTTTAGGGTACCTTCTCCTCCTCCGAGATCTCCGTTGAACCCGTCCGGACGCCACGGATCCGGATGAGACGGCAAGCGTTCAGCCGCAGGGGCTGCAGAGATCAATCCGTCGGAGCCCTGGGCTCTGCGCGCGCTGCGGGGCCTTGCCCTTCAGGGCCCCTACGGGGGCCCTCAGGGCCCAAACGAGGGCCTTCAGGGCCCGGAGAGGTGTACGTACCGTTCTTCCCCCCAGTGGATCGCCCCCCCCCCCATGACGCGACGCCCAAAGAGATCGCGGATGAACTCGTCTGGACGAAACGGCTTCGGATGAGACGGCAAGCGTTCCACCGCAGGGGCTGCAAAGAGCCATCCGTCGGAGCCCTGGGCTCTGCGCGCGCTGCGGGCCTTGCTCGGGTTGCTCTCGCGGATCTCCCGCACCGTCAGCTCCTCCCCGGGGCACTCGGGCAGCCTCTAACCCCCAGAGGAACAAGGAGGAGGGGGGAGGGAGCCCAGACCCCCTGGAGTCATGTAAAAATCACGACGACGGGCTTTTCGCTATTTTCGGCCTCTGGGGGCCTTCGCCGGGCCTCGGGACCGTCAAAAACGACCCAGGATGAAAACCTCTCCCAGGGAATGGGTCCAGACCTCTTGGGGCCGACGGTGATGAATGGAAAAGTCATGACGCCGGGTCTGGGAGGGAAGGAGTGGAGGGGACGTAGAGGATGAGGAGGGGGAGGAAGAGGAGGACACATCGGCGGCAGGCACCGTTACTCTGCGCCCTTCTGGACACTCAACCCTTACTTTCTCTGCATCTCCTGTATCGCACGGGCCTGCCGCCTAATTCGCCTTAAAGTTGTCCAGCGCTGCCCTTTTTCTCGGTGTCGCAGCATGCTCCACACAAACGCCGCGAGCATCGATGCTTAGAGACTGGCCAACGTCAAGAGAAGGGGGAGGGAGGGGGAGAGGAGCGGAGGGCGGGCGGTGGGAGCCCGGACCCCCGACGCCATGAATTCTTCACAACGTCGACCCCCAGAGTCGGGGAGACGTAAGACCCGGTTACGGGGGACTCGGAAATCCCCGACGAGGTCGTCAAAAAAATGACGAGGCCGAGCCTGCATTTTGACGAGGCCTCCCGCTGCAGACATCCCACGAAACTCCTCCTCGTCAAAATCCGAGTCGCGGTCGTCAAAAAACGATGGCGAACCCGAGTCCCGGCAAACCCGGGTCTTCCGCTCCCCCGACAGAGGTCTATAGACTCTCTGGACGCATTCCCCGGGGCCGGTTTTTCATCCCGGGTCGCTGTTTGGCAGCCCCGAGGCCCAGTAAGGGCACCCGGAGGCCGAGAATAGCGAAGGCGGCCTCCCGTCGTGATTTTGTCACGACGCGGGGGGGGGGTCTGCGAGGAGCGATCCCCAGAAGAGCCCCTGTTCACTGCACCGACCTTGCAGACGTGCTGCAGCGGATTTTGCTGCGATTTCTGTCAATGCAAAACACCGACACTGCGAGCGAAATAGGAAGAGAATCTCGCGTGGGCTTGTTGTGGTCTTCATCCATGGCGCCTCCAAAAAAGTCAACGAAATAGACTTCGAAATCCGGAACGAACTCCTCCAGGACAGTCCGGGCCCATCCCAACGTTTTCCAAACGATATCCGCTCTGCGATGTTGGCGCCATGACCGGTTTCTCATCCTCTGTCGTTGTGTCATTGTCCCGAGGCCCGGCAATGGCCCTGGGAGGAGGCCCAACAAGTAGCGAAAAACCTCCCGTCTCCCGTCGTGATTTTTTCATGGCGCGAGGGGGCTTTGGGAGGAGCGACCCCCCAAACACTCCCTGTGACTAGAGGCCTCCTGGATGGTGTCCGAGTATATGGAGTCGGAGGATCGCGCCGCATCACCAATGCATCGCCCATGCATCGGCGCTGCATCGGCGATGCATCGGCGATGCACCGGCGATGCATCGGCGACGTCGGCGATGCATCAGCCCCAATTGTGCGGAGTAACTCTAGCACCACCACGGGCCGCATCGCCGATGCATCGGCGACGCGACGCGATCCTTCGACCCCATCTACTCGGGCCCCATTTGGGAGGCCTAGAGCATCGGAGTCCTTTCAGGCGTTGGCAGAACTGGGTTTAGTGGGACCTGGTTTAGTGATGTGTACTGGGGGACGCCCCCCCCCCCCCGCCCCGTCCCACTAACATAACTGGAACCGCCGCTACCCGAAAAAACACGAGCTACGGCAGACCTGGTTGCTAGTGATTTTGGCCAATTTAGTCGGGGGCGGCCAAAAGGGAGGCGTCCAAGAGGGGGGGGGTGCAAATCATGGCCGGCGGCATGTGCGCGGCCCAGCGGGGGGGCCAGGGGAGTAATGAAACAAGAAGAGGCGCCCTGAAATCTGGGGGAATATCATGGCCCCGACATGATATCCACCCCCCTAGTCATCACCCCCCTCTTTGCCGCCCCCGATTTAGGGGCTCCCAGGCCCTGCTACTAACAAGGTCCCCTTAACTGGGGTCCTGGCTACATGATAGGCCTGTTTTCCACCACCACCACCATAAGCTGGAGGGGGGAAGGAGGTGGAGGACGAGGAGGAGGAGGACGAAGAGGAGGAAGAGGAGGAGGAGGAGGTGGAGGAGGAGGTGGAGGAGGAGGACCCCCTCCCCTCCAACTCATGGTGGTGGTGGTGGAAAACAAGCCTATCACTATACCCGATCCTTCAGCTGGTCCACGCGCACCGACACCCACCAGCTCCCGCAGGCCTCCGACCGCGGCCACAGGGACCGGGCCTGCCGGAAGACGTCCGCGAGCACCAGGAGGGCTCCGCGGGGGTCCTGCGCTGCGGCAGGCGGACAGGACGGGGAGTCTCGCTGCGACCCCAGACATCTGGCGTCTCGAAAAATCGAGACCGGAGTTTTTCGCTATTTTCGGCCTCTCGGGGCCCTCGCCAGGCCTCGGGACCGTCAACAAAACGACTCGGGATGAGCAGCTGGTCCCGGGGAAGTGGTCGGGCAGTTGGGGGCCCGTCTCGAAAAAATCGAGACGTCGGATATCTGGGACAGGTTCGTGTCGTGACGACGTCGGATATGGTTTCTGGCACCACGTGCGTCGTTCAACCTTGAACGATCGCGGCGTGCCGATTGTGCAGATCGTTCGATGCCGGCCACCTCCGTGAGCGCGACCAACGGAGTGCAACCCTTGAGCGCCCGCGCTGCGGTCGCCGCCGCGTCGGCACGGCACGAACCTGCCGTATAACAACATGCATGGGGCACATCATTCGTCGACCTTGAGCTTCGTGAGGTGGGGTCACTGGCTAGCGGGGGAAACATGGTCGAAATGTATGTGTATGCGCATACATATGTGTACGCATGCACAATGTCTATAGTTACGTGTCTGTACATGTACTACGTACATGTATGCACCATAGGTGCAACATATAGATCGGAAAATGAATCTACTGATATGCGCATGTATGTATGATTGTATGCATACATGTCTGTATGTATATATGCATGTAGCTATGTATACAACGATATATGTGTATGTGTATGCATGTATGTATGTATGTATGTATGTATGTATGTATGTATGTATGTATGTATGTATGTCTGTGTGTATGTATGTATGTATGTATGTATGTATGTATGCATGCATGCATGTATGTATGTATGTATGTATGTAGGTATGTGTGTATGCATAAGAGAACGCGTTTCACGGGCGCTTGCCTGGGGAACATTCGGCGGCGCGTTTCGAACTGGGGGTTGCCCCCCCCCCCAACACTCGGCGCCGTCGATCAAAACCAGGGGGACTCCCCTCCCCCCCAACCCCCCCTCCTCCCGAACAGCCCCCCCCCACCCCCCTCCCCTCCCAAGGGGGGGGGGGTCAAATCCCCCCTAATCCCCCCCTCCTCGACGCCGGCGCCGGCGCTGGCGGCCGCCAGCAGCGCCCACGGCGGGGACGCAGCGACGATGACCAGAGGCAGCCCAGGAAGACGGGGGGGGGGAGTTTGAACCCCCCCCTTCGCGCTCGCGCCGGCGCTGGCGGCGGCCAGCAGCGCCGGCGCTGGCGCCGACGACGGCGGGGACGCAGCGACACTTACCACCACCAACCACCACCACCACCACCACCACTACCACCACCACCACCGCCTCAACCCACCACCACCACCAACAGCACCACACAACCACCACCACCACCACCACCACCACAGCCACCACAACCACCACAACCACCACTACAACGCGCTGGCCCGAGGAGAGGGGAAGCAGGGGAAGCTTGGGGATTCGAACCCCCCCCCTCCGTCACCGGAAGGGGGGGGGTTCGAACCCCCCCCCTCCCCCCCCTCCATCCAGGGGGGGGGGGTCCGGTTTCACCCCCCCTCCCCACACTCCAAGCGACCACAGAACGCGCTCGTTCGTATGTACGTATGTATGTATGCATGCATGCATGCATGCATGGATGCGTATGTATGTATGCATGCATTCATGCATGTATGGTGTGATGTATGTATGTATGTATGTACGTACGTACGTACGTACGTACGCATGCATGCATGCATGCATGTGTGTATGTGTGTGTATGTGTATGTGTATGTGTATGTGTAGGTGTAGGTGTAAGTGTATGTGTATGTCTATGTGTATGTCTATGTGTATGTATATACGTATGTGTATGTGTATGTGTACGTGTACGTGTATGTGTATGTGTATGTGTATGTGTATGTGTATGTGTATGTGTATGTATATATGCATATATGCATGTATGTATGTATGCATGCATGCATATACGTAAGTACATATGTATGTATGTAGATATGAATGTATGTATGTGTGCATACATGTATGTATGTATATATGTATGTATGTATGTATGTATGTATGTATGTATGCATGTATGTATGTATACGTGTTGGCATGTATGTTTGTATGCATACATGTAAGTATGTGTGCATACATGTACGTGTGTACGTGTTTGTTTGTACGTATGTTACCATGCGTATGTATGTATACAGGTGTATATGTATATGTGTGTATGTATGTATGTATGGATGGATGGATGGATGCATGCATGTATGTATGTATGTATGTATGCATGTATATATATGTAAGTGTGTATGTATCGCTGTTTGTACATGTGGATATGCGTATGTATGTATGTATGTGTGTATGTATGTAAGTATGTATGTACGCATGGATACATGCATGTATGCATGCATGCATGTGTGTATGGAAGTATGTATGTATGGGTGTATGGTTGTATGTATGTTTGTATGTACGTATGTATGTCTGATCAGGGATGCCATGTAAGCATGGATGTATGCATGTATGCATGCATGCATGTATGTCTGTATGTATGTATGTATGTATGTGTACTATGTAATATGTATGTATACACATACCTCTGTCGTGGTGCGTCCGGGGACGAGCCAACTTCTAACTTCGCCTGCCTGCTGTAGGAGGGGCTGCTCTTTACACTTCGCCTCATAGGACGAAGCCAGGACGAGGACAAATTCGGGTGAGGATAAATCGAGAACCTCTGAGATCCAGCGGCTCTGGAGTATGTCTCGGGCGCCGCGGCCTTTTCAGAGCGTTGCACAACGCTCTTAGCGCGTTCTGGAACGCTCTGACACGAATTTGTCCTCGTCCTAGCCGCCCCGAGCTCATCCCCCCTTTTCGACGCTCCCTGGTTTTCGGTCCATGGCTCGGCTCTCTGGTGGTCCCTCGGGGCGATCGGGGCAACCCCGGAACGCCCTCGACACGACGCAGCGGCTGGAAGGCATGCCGAGGCTGGAAGCCCGCCGGAGGCCGACGAAACCGCGCGAAAGCCTCGCGTCTCGAACACCTCGAACCTCGAACACCTCGAATCTCGAAAACCTCGAATCTCGCAAACCTCGAGTCTCGAAAACCTCGAATCTCGAAAACCTCGAATCTCGAAAACCTCGAGTCTCGAGAGCCTCGTGCTGACCCCGTCCGACCTCCTCCTCCTCCTCGTCCTCCTCCTCCTTCTCCTCCTCTTCCTCCTCCTCCTCCTCCTCGTCCTCCTCCTCCTCCTCCTTCTCCTGTTCCGGGTGCTGAGGGAGCTGGGTCCAGCAATAATTTCGAGCACCCGGAAAAGTGTTGAAACAGTGTCGAAACAATGTCGGACGAGTGTCTCCAGGGCCCGACGCGTGAAAACCTTGAGGTTCGATACTTTTTTGGTGCTCGGAAATTCTTTCCTTTCGGAGATCAAGGCTAAAGTATAGGATGGAGCATCACGAGGCCAGGGGGCTCATTTTGACCGATATCCGGCGGCTCGCCCAGGGGAGAAGCGAGAAGGAGTTAGGGCCGTCTCAGACGGGCGGCGGGCCTTCTCAGAGGGCCTGCGGGGCCTGCTGAGAAACTTCTTCGTGGCAACTCTGACGACGACGACGACGCCCTCACGACGACTCGGGGCCTTCTCAGGGGAAGGCGCAGACAACTTCTCTCAGAAGGCCGGGGGGACTTCCGAGCCTTCTGAGAGAAGGACGTCTCCTTCTCGCCTCCTCCCCGGGCGCGCCGCCGAGCGCTGATGGGGGGGGCGAGGACTGGGTCGAGCAGGGGATCGACTGCAGAATTGATGTTTACGCCAGGGCCTGTTTTTTCCAAGCTGCGGAGAAGAATACGTCGAATGCTCCGCAGACCTAATTACTGAGCGTGCAGTGCAGTTGTGTCGTGGGCTCGACGGAGAAGCGACTCCTGGGGCAAACCACTTCTGCAGTCGAATCCCCCACTCGAAGGGGGGGGGGAAAGACAGGTGCCCTTTCCGGGCCCTGCAGACCCCCTCTGGGGGCCCTTTCGGGGCCCCTTTCTGCAGCCCTCACTGCCCCCCCTGTATCTGAAGGCGCCCACAAACACACAAATAGATACACACAAATGACAGGATTCCCCATATGTTTCCACATTTTCTGGGTTTCTGTCTTCCCTCCACTTCCCATCTTTTC